CCMMMAAWKSYTKTTCCTTACAAATGTGGCACCATTTAAAAGGGAAATCAACGTGCTTTCCAATGATRTAAGATTTATTGCCAGGAAGCATTGTTACAACAAAGAAATAATCTACCAAACATTAACTTCCTTACTTTTTGTGCTAACTTTAGTTACCATCATTTATCGTACAGGAAGCTAATGAGAAACTACAACACACAATGTATTACAATGAGTTTTTTATTTATTTTACAAAAAAAAAAGAACAAAAAGCTATTGAGTTAGGAGATAAATCTTAAGGTGGATTTGTATTTTCAAACAGTTTTTACAGCATTTCTTAAAATCTTCGTACAATATCAATTTCGATTGATTGTTTTGGGACTGTCAAAGCGCTAGGCTAGCTCAGGTGTATTTATTATCCTGAACACCAGCCACATGTTGCCATAGCTGTGGTGGACCTGCTGCAGGAGCTGACGGATATCGACACACTCCACGAGAGCGAGGAGGGCGCTGAGGTGCTCATAGATGCTCTGGTGAGTTCAAGATTTACATCAGACTTTCACATTGATGAAACTACACTTGATGGATCAATGCTTAAATTTCTGGGCTTCTGCATCTTAACTAGACAAGAAGAATCGATGACTTCATCATTTTTAATGAATACAAAGCAATACTTGTGTTAACTCTTGCTGACATTTAGATTTTTTTAGGTTTATTTTTTAATGAAGAATTCTGAAGCCAATTTTTGTCTGTAATGTTTTGATACTATGTAATGAACATTTAATCATTAGCACAATATGTATTTTATATCTCTTATTATCTAAGAACAATGTGAAATGTTCATGACTGAGATCAACCTGAATTTGTTTGAAATTTCATCAATTGTTTTGGCACCTAACCCTATAGTAATCATTGCCTCCCTTTTCTCAGTTTTTAAGTTTTCTTCGTGAACTTCTACCTGTGGTTGTCAGTTTATCATCAACTTTCTCTCTCTTCCACTTCAACCTCTCTTTTTTTCTAGTTGAGCCTATTACACTGTCTGTGAAGCAGAGAGGCACCTACATAATGTGGCATCAATATTGTTGATATCCCATTATGCTTTCTGACATTCACAGCGACACACACAAAGGTCAAACTGCAATAATGTGCAGTTAGAGCTTTTTAATGGAGGGAAGAGCTGAGGGCCTGCTTCTTCATGACTGCCACTGTGACTCTTTATCAGTGACTCTGTTGTCTTGTCTCTCGCTGCTTTCAGGGACTTATTTTTCCTMACATGTAGGATCTGTGTGGCCAAAAAAAATAGTTGTCACCTGGATTTAACTACCGTAAGCAAATAGGTACAAGCCTCCTATTGGATAATTACTGCATGGACGATTATCTTTCAGCTGGCAACAAGTTATTTAAACCCAACTGGTGTAATGAGTTGCTTCTTATTTCTTAAAGGGGCAATATTATGTGTTTCTCAGGCATACATTTAAATACTATACCATAATAAAGCATCTATGTCACCTTTAGCTGTTATTAAAAAATGCTGTTTTTATGTTTAAATAGAAAAAAACTTATCTTCTCATCACTTCCTCTTCTAAACACCTTGAAAATTGGCCTCTGTCTCTTTAAGAACCACCTTCCGCTTCCCTCCCGTAAGTTTCAGTGGGGTGGGTTGTTTCGCGCGTGCGCTATGATACAGTTTACTTGGCATCTGAAAATACATTTCCTCAAAGGTATTTTGAATCTGTAAAGAGCTTCACTGAGTGAGAAGTAGTGTTGAGAGCAGCAGACAGTTTAATTTTCACTTTCACTTTGCTCTGTTACTGCCAAGAGCCTGCAGGAGTCATGGGCGGGGTGTGTGGGGTTGGGGGGTGTGCTCCGTGATGAGGAAGTTCAGCTTAAAGACACGTCCCAGGGGCGTTTCTGGTACCAAAATGCGTTTCTGGTCCCCACCTGTTGTTTTGCTCCTCAGCATGGCTTCCTAAAAACGCTGCAGGATTTCTCAAACATGCATGAATGAGTCAGAGCAAGGCTTTGGGCATGTTTTTTTATGAGAGTATAACATTATAGCATGATATAAAACTCAAAATGTTGATTTTACATGATAATGCCCCTTTAAACAACCATGTGGAAAGACCCATCCTGTGGTCATGGATTAGAAGTCAGTCTGTTTGAGAAGGCTCAAATCATTGGCATCAAGCAGAGAAAACATCTAAGGAGATTGTAGAAAATACTAACACTGGGTTAAGAACTGTCCAACCCATTATTAAAAATGGGACCCATCGTCTTCAAGGAAGAAATGTGGCCGGAAAAAATTCCTGAACGATCAGTGATCACTTAAGTGTTTGGTAAAATTAAATYGAAGAAAAACAACAGTAGAACTCCRGGCTATGTTTAATAKTGAAAGTAAGAGCATTYYCACATGCACGATGCAAAGGGAACTCAAGGGATTGGGCTGAGCAGCTGTGTAGCCTTAAGAAAACCACTGATCAGTGAGGCTAAGCAGAATAAAGGCTTCGATTTGCTCGGGAGCATAAAGATTGGACTCTGGAGCAATGGAWGAAGGTCATGTGGTCTGATGAGTCCAGAYTGAYCCTGTTCCAGTATGATGGGCTCATCAGGGTAAGAAGAGAGGCAGRTGAAGTGATGCACCCTTCATATGTAGTGCCTACTGTACAAGGTTGCAGTTGGTCAGGTTTAGGTTGAGCAMCAGTTTGTGCTCAAAGAATGAGGTCAGCTGACTATCYGAATATACTGAATGACCAGRTTATTCCATCAGTGGATKGTTTCTGCCCTGATGGCACGGCCATATTCCAAGGTGACAATGCCAGGATTCATCGGGCTGGAATTGTGAAAGAGTCGTTCTYACACATGGAGGCTTTGCGCAGCGGTCAGACTCTACCATCATCAATGCAAGATCTTGGTGAAAAATTAATGCATCACTGGATTGTGACATTGCAGCTTTTCGAAACAATGCAACAGCAAATGAGTGTGACTTTTTCAGCTGTGAGAGGGCAGAGGGAGGAATTATGTTAATTTATGGCCCGCCGCSTCTTCAACCCGTTTATACTTAGTCAGGAAAAAGACGTGCGACTCGAGTTTTATCTTTATCTGAGGGTTTTCTTATTTTAACTACAAGCTGGCTAATGTCTAACAGGGGTAATCACAGGAAGTGGAAATAAGGTCAACAATTCTTGAAAAAAGTAGAGTTTGTGTGTTGGTGGGTTGGCTGCTTGCATGACCGTGTGTGAGATAACAGCTCAGGTGGCTTTGCAGCATTTACAGGATGAAGGCATAATATAAATGCAGCCCATTTACCATGCACTGGAGCGTCCATAACCCCAGTGTTCTTTACAGCTGCATCGCAGGGAAACAGTTTCAGGGCAGCGAGGTTGGTTGGTTGATTCCATTTGTCTCTACTGTGTTCTGTAATGCCTGCAGCCTCTCCGTCCTTGCTGCCAGAAGGCCAGGTGTTATCCTTGATAAGATAAATCAAAATGACTCWCAGCAGTCTCTGTGGCTTATAAATCTGCTTTGACTGCCCATCTTCTTTCATCTCCTATAGTACTTTCATCCAAGCCACTGGCACCCTACAATCTTTGTTTGGTTGAGCCTCCAATCTTGACTTGACTGATAACACTTGCTTCCCTTCAGAGCTTGTGTGAAAATGTCCCAAGTTTCTTCCACTTAAATGTAAATCGACAGAAAAACGAAAATATCACTTTGTTGTTCCCTAAGCTGTGTTTTTTGTCTTTATTGAGTGTCTTATAAGATATTAATAACCTGTTTGAATKTAAAGAGTGTTGGAATGAGAATTTTGCAGTTTATTTTTGGGTTATACAGATAAATCTTCAAAGTGTTGTGTAACRGTATATATGATGTGTCAGAACTAGGGGTGTCCCAATACAACTTTTTCACTATTTGTTGTGTATAGTGAGTGTTGGCCAATACCAGACCCGATACAATATCAGAACAAATCCTATGCTTTTATTACTTTTTTTGTAGTGTGGAATCTTAAAAAGACGTGATCAAGTCAAGCAGGGAACAATAGTCAACAACAGTTGGTATGAGAAAGACTGGTCCCATTTATCATTAACCAAAGGGTTACATAATTGTTTAATTTAAGCATAAGAATATTGCACAATTAAATACAATAAATAAATAATAAAACAGAAGACCATGAAAATTACCTTAATATATCCAATAAAAACAAAATATACTTTTAAACTCTAAAATAACTATTCAAGGTCACTTATCACTTTTTTCTTCCATACGTTTTTCAGCATCTAACTCGTTCCACAATTTTTATGCTATTTCAACAATTCATATATCAAAACGTTCAGCTCATTCATGTGAGGGGTGCTATGACTTTTGGTATTTCAGCTTTTTATACTTTTTTTAGCTTTTTCAATTTTTTTAGACACTTTTTGCCATTGAAAATGAATGGAGTTATTTTCAACATCCTTAAAGTCCTTTAAAATGTTTCTAAATCTTCACAGCACTATACACATTTTGTTCTGGTTCTGCTCTTTTTCACTTTCTTGTGCTAATTTTAGCTACTTTATTGCTAATTTTAGGCTTTTTCTGCTAWTTCAGCTAGAATTCTGCATTTTCCTGCTATTCTTTTGTGTTTTTCTGCTTTTAATGCTTTTTTCTGCTACCATGTTATTTWTGYTTTTTACAGATGTTTTCAGCTATATTTAGCTATTTTAGCTTAGCYGTTTTCTGTTTTTAACTAGWTTTGYGCAATGTGCTAATTTTTACTGTTTTTCTGCAAAGTTATGCATTTTTGCTTCWTTCAGCTTTTCAAAGTAAAGTGTTAAAACAAAGTATAAATAGTTTTCCTRTTAAATATTTTCAGCTCAATTTYAGCAGCTTTCAGCTTACATTTTAAGCGTGAAGAATTCACTCTAGCATTTTCACAGGAAATGCAATTTCTCTAGTTTATTCTTGATCCAAGCACYGCTGCATAGAAATCCTGAGCAGACTATGGATGGACCGCTTATATCGGAGCGATTATATCTGAGATTTTAGATGCAGGCCGATATAATCCRMTATTTTTATTTTTTGGYAATTATCAGACCGATAATCGATATTGATATCGGATCAGGACAGCCTTAGTCAGAACTGACTAACTGACTCATCTTTGTTTGCAGTTGGAGGGACAGGTGGTGGCCTTGTTGGTACAGAATATGGAGCGGCTGGATGAACAAGTGAAAGAAGAGGCTGATGGYATCCATAACACACTGGGTAAGAAGACATCAAAATGGGGAGAATTATCTCTCTGTGTTAATAACAAATAAAATGCCATCGTGCACCAAAATTAGCACTACATAATGTAGTGTCTTTGTACCCAATCGTTGGGCTGCATTCAGATCCAGCAATGTTTAAAATTGCAAAGCGTGAATTGTCAACCAAATTTCTGCAGTGTTTGTGATCACAGCTCCATAGCCTGAAACAAATGGACTTAAATATTTAAAGAAGGAAAACACTAGTTAGAGCCATTTCCTTGTCAMCTATCCAATATATGCAAAACATGTCTGAATGAAAGTGTTGAAATTGTCATGTTGTTTCCAAACATTGCTCCTGTTTTACACTGGCTTCTGTGATRGACCCACAAAGCTGGTGCCAGAGATGAAATATGGAACGGTTGTTTTGACAGAGCCTGTTTCTGTCCTGTGGCTGCAGCCTTTCTGTGTAAATGCACAATGCCATATATWTTTTTTAACATTCTAGATGTTTTTTTTCTCTCTCTGCATGTTAAATATTTTATGTCAGACTACATTATGCACAGTACTGCAGTGGTTAGCACTGTAGCTTCTGCAAGATGGGTTCTGGTTTGAATCTATTTGGCTGAGTCCTTTTTTTGTTTTTGTAGAGACTGCATGTGTGGGTGTTAGTATGTGGCTGCTCCACACCACAGCTGTTTGTATTACTTCAGTCAGAAGCCTATGGTTTGATCAAATGCAACATAGTTATTAAAAAAGAATACACAACAAAATTTTAAATCATTAAGAAATGAATGACAAAGTAAAGAAAATAAAAATAACTACAATTCACGCTGTTGATTCATAAGATCTCACTTGGCTATGCAAATAAAAAGACATGAATTTACGTAATTATTTATCTTTGTTTTGTCATGCGGCCTCCTCTCTGCTAGAATAGTCAGTGCATATCCAGCAAAAAAGTATATGCTGTGGAGAACATTATGGACATAATTTACTGTAAACAGCTAGGGCTGTGTATTGAAATGATGCATATCACAATATATGGCGATATATTGTGATACTGTMAGCAAGGTGATAYATTACCATTTTTTCCCTCGAAGTCTTATTTTAAAAAACTCAGTATAAAGAGCACACCATGCATTATATGTAGGGATGYACGATATATCAGTATTGATATCGGTATCGGCCAATTTTGGTMATTTTTTAGARTATCGGTATCAGTCCGATATGTAAAACTGGGCCGATATTAACATCCGATATTGATTTCCCACTTTTTAKCTTTGTGTTTCTGTTCTGGGAGGGGAGATGGTTGGTTGAGCTGCATCTGTTTGATCATGATAGTGATATTGATGCACCACAGTCAGGAATAACTGAAGTAGAGCCTTGTCACAGGTCTGGTCATTTTACTGTATCAAAAAAGACCCATGTGTGTGTGTGCTTATACGTATGTATATAATTTGTGTGTTTGTGTAATATCTGTAAATATTGGTTTTCGGCCATTACAGCAGTAATTATATCAGATACCGATATCGGCTGAGATTTTCATATCGGTGCATCCCTAATTACATGCATATAATTTGCTTAAATTCAGTTTATCTTTTTGCAATCAGAAAAACACAAAAAATCGAAACCGTATCAGGAAATTAAACATTGCAATATTTCGGTGTGTGGATATTTTCATCCTCCTCTGTAAACAGGTGGTTTCCTGACACTGCAGGCAGTTCTTTACATAAACAAGCTGTGCTCTAATGGATTTGTTTAGCATTTAGCTGATTATTTGTCATCTATTTTGGAAATAAGTTGTGTTTTACCCCTCAGAGAAGAAAGGGTTATGACAGGGCTGCCAATGTATCGCAAAAATATTGTCTTCGCAGTATCAGTGTACGCAATATTCATATCGCAAAAGGGTGTTTGGAGTGCAATAATTGTATTTAAAGAGTTTTGAAGTTGTGTTTTTCAATTTCAGTATTTGTCCAGTAGGACAGAGTTTCTTGGCATCAAAAGCTCACACAAGACACAACTGAATTTGCCAGAAATGCTAAAGGTTACATAGAGTAGGAAGTACAGATTAAGCATATTGCACTTGATATCGGCTTCGCAGTATTTGCAAATATTATCATTATTGCAAGATTGTCGAATATGGCGCAGCCCTAGTTGGTTGAGTTTTGGTTTTGTTTTACAATGTGGGGAAAAGCCACTAGAAGCAGCAAATCAAGCACCAGAAGAGGAGTTTAGGATAAATTTAATATTGCAAAACCATTTTTTTTTACCTGTCAGTTGCTGCCAACATAAGCTTCAACACTCAACTGAAAGGAAAGTAAAAGTTTTAGCCAAGCATAACTTAAACCGATGTTTGGTTGCTGGTGCTTTTGACAGTGTTAAAGGTATAGCAGAGAGAAAAAAAACAAACAAACTAGCAGATGGTTTGAAAAGTCTTGGCCTCCGTATTTAGCCCTACATAAATCAGACTTTTCTGCCTCTCAGCTCTTTTTGTGTTGAATGACTCTGTTGAGATGATTTCTCTTTCTTTGTTGCCAGATTGAGGCCGAGTGTCAGGAGGGTTGTTTAGGTGTGTGTTTTTGGCTCTGTGTGTGAGACTCACATCGTTGGCACAACACTGGTGCATCCCTCTGAAGTTTGTGTGTGTGTGTGTGTGTGTGTGTGTGTGTGTGTGTGTATGAGAGAGAGAGAGGGAGTTATCAAGGGAGCTCTCCAAGCTTGAATAAGCCTTTTGTCTGCCTTGGCTGCTTTCTGTTCTGGGGCTGCTGTCCTCCAGGATGCTGTCTGTCTGTCTGTCTGCTCTGTTTGCATCCCTGATAAAGGCCCTTCGTTTTTCTCCTCCTCCTCCTAGTTTTGTTTTTCCATCATTTCTCTATCATCTGCAGCCCATACAGCCAGATGTTTTGTTTCATGTCATCTATCTTACCTCACACCTTCTTATTATTCTTCTTTTTTTTTAATAATCTTGGTATCAGTTTCTGAGGTCCYTCATTTTTGCATCTTTCATCTCTGACTTGTCTTCCCACCTGTTTTCCCTCCCCTTCACTTTTCTTCTGCCCTCATTTCTGAGTTTTCCTCTCCCCTCTCGTTTTATCTCATAACGTCTCCTTTTCCTCTTCTGCTTCAGTCTGCTCTGATGGAGACGTGAATTGCAGAGACAGCTTTCTAATGATAACTGTAAAACAACAAAAGAAGGTTAAAATCAAGCTGCTCAATTTTTTAAAGCTTGCCATTGTTGTTCAAAGGGAAGTTTTGACTGATGAAGGGTTTTAATATTCGCTTTTGATTAAAACGAGCTATAATAAAGTATTCTAGTGTGCTATGGCACACATGAAACCTTTTGTTTGTGCTTGTTAAATAAAGAATAAGAGACAGAAAAAGACACTAGAATGYCTGGATTGTTCACCAGATCATTATTGATTTGTTATTCCAGATTCCAGTTTCTCTTCTCTAATCTTCGTCACCTCTTGTTAACAAGCGTTGAAGCACGTTCTCAAAAAGTGTTTTGATCCAAACTGATTCAACACCATGAAGGATTTTTACTCAAAGATTATTTTGTCAGCTGATCCAGTTYCAGCATTCGAAGGCAGATGTTGAATTTTTGATATYGTCTGTYTTTTGCAGCTATAATAGAGAATATGGCTGAGTTTAGGCCCGGCCTGTGCACTGAAGCTGCTCAGCAAGGACTCATGCAGTGGCTGCTGAAGAGGATCAAGGTAAAAACCAGGGTGTTTGCTGTGGTTTGAGTGATTTAGAGCAGGAGTCCTCCAACATTTTCATGCTGTTCCCCCAACAGCATTAGCTTCTGACTGGGAATCCCCTCCCTTGCAAACCTACAAACAGTGCTACAAAATATGTAAAGAAACATCAACTTTTAGAATGTTTTTTTTCACTTTTATTCCATTTTGAACAATTATTATATTTGTTTTGTATAATTTTATTTTATGAACAAACATGCTTTAAACCAGGGGTTCTTAACCTTTTGACCTCAGGGCCCAATTTGTTGAACATAAAGTGACACAAGGCCCAGTCAGACATTACCAATGTACTGATCAAAATGATAATTATTCTAAATCTTGGTTTAATTTGTATTGTTTTGCATTTTATCTAAATTAAATACACTTAAGGTTTGCAAGTAAAACTCCTGTCAAATAAATACAAGACATGRTTATGACAAACATTTGTTTATATTGTAACCTGCCCATAACAATTATTTGAACAAATACAACAGTCAAACAGACCACTCGGGCTTATCAACACAATATATATATATTTAATAAACAATAACAAAAATAGACAATTCAATAAATAAAATTGTGAGCATAAAATAAATATATTCAAAATGTTTAATGTAAATGTTTCAAATTAAAAGAAAAAAGTCAAAATAAATTTGAAGTACAAATGAAAATAAAGCCTTTTTAAACTTTTACATGGTAGAACCAGAAGCCGATCATCTTAAGGACAATAACAATAACAACAGCTTTTTGACAAGCTTAAAGTTTCTTTAAAATAGCAACATCAAAATGTTTAAAAATAAACTACGAAAATTAATTTGATAAAGTGCAAATTAAAATACAGTTGTATCTGCAATTGTATTTGATAATCTTTGAACTTGTAAAGTATTGCATGGTAGAACCAGAAGCTGCGCTTCATATTAGTGACAAACTTTGGCATTTTTTTGACGGGTTGCCTTCATTTTTGCTTCTACTTTTCAATTAAAATAGGTTTCCATTCTCGGCAGGTTTCTAAGGTTCTTCTATGTATTAAAAAAGTTGTTAAACATCTGAGTGGCACACTACCGCTACTAGTGGTGAGAAAATGTATTGCACCTTATTCAAAATCAATCCAGTCCTGTGGCCCTCTGCGACCCAAAGTTAAAAACTGATATTCTTCTGAGGCTCTCAAGGTGGCACGGCCCATGGTTTTAGAATCTCTGCTTTAAACACTATTATATTCTCACTGGAAAAAACAACTTTTCAACAAACAGTTGATAATAAGAACAGAACAAAAAAAAAACAACATCTTAAGCTCTTTTAACATTTCAATATATTATTATAAATTATACTTGAAATTGATCATGAAAAATAGATTTGATTTTATAATTATTTAAAACATTTATTAGATTAGATTTTTTAATTTTTGCATTTTTTTTCTTATCTTCCCTCCAGCTTTCTGAGACGCATCACTTTGAAAAACACTGGTTTAGAGAATAAGACCAGTTAATAGGTCAGTTAACCAGTGTTTTATAGCTTTAAAGTCACTGTTGTCTAATACTAACATATTTATCTTTTCAAAAATTACCATTATAAAATAAATAATATTACCTTTTATATAACCTAAAATGTAGTGTGGTATTTCACATAAACCAGTTTATTTGATCAGTTGTAAATGTGCATGCAATGATTCTTTCTGAAAGTTTCATAAACATGTGTCCAGTGGTTAATATGGTATTTTGCTAACAGAAAAATAGGGTCGTCTCCAAACAGTTATTGCCAAAGTATTATTAAAAAATACTGCACGGTGCGTAGTGTTCGTTTTGAATACAGTAAATGAGGATTCAAATATATTTAGAAATGCTCTTCACTTTTGCACACGGCACAAGGCAGAATCGRCACAAGCCAGATTCCTGCTTGAAGTTACAAAATGCAGATTTTCTTCTAGAATACATAGTGGTTTTGTAATTCTCAAGAGACCAGAGTTTCACAGGATAAGTGGTAATTGGACTTTGCTCTCCTTCCCTTTCAGGCAAAGATGCCGTTTGATGCTAACAAGCTGTACTGCAGTGAAATCCTGGCCATCTTGCTGCAGAATAACGACAGTAAGTGTCCCTCAGTAAACGTGGGTTCAGATATTCTTTTATTTTCTTTATTCATCTCCTTTCTTAAGTTTCTTCCTAACTTGAGTTGTATTCTCTATTATCATTGCTTTGTTTTCTCTTTTTTCTTCATCACATGGATCTGTTACTACACTTCTTATTTATTCCTGCTTTCCTTTCCTTTCCTTTCCTTTCCTTTCCTTTCCTTTCCTTTCCTTTCCTTTCCTTTCCTTTCCTTTCCTTTCTTAATTTTTTTGTTTCCACTGTCTCGTCTCTAAGGGTATTTGCTGTCATTTCCCCTCCTTTCTCTCCCAGACTAAAAGGCAGTAAAATCAGATAGCCACAGGACTAACAGACCTTTGGACAGGTTGTTATTAATGCCACAAACCACATTGATATGCAGTTGGAGTCATTTCTCATTTTTCAAAATTTCCTCTACCCTTCACTAGTGCTGTCTCCTTTATGCAGTCCAGCCACCTCCAAGAATATCAATATCCCCCCCACCAAAAAAAAAATATATATACATATATATTTATTACTAAACGAGGACGTATGCTGTCACAGATAATATCCCACGAATAATATTGTCCGTTGTTTTAAGGTAAGAAAAAGGCAAATTACCCAATTATCATAAAAAGTGGCGCTCCCTGAAGTCCTAATTTGCATGCAATTATTTCGTCTTGCTGTTGGATTTGACATAAAGCACAGATTTGAAAGGTAAAATGAGCAACTTTATCATCAGCAGAGGTATTCTGTGCAAAAAAATCAGTCTACATGAATTAAACTGAAATAATGAATACTTTTAGTTATAACTCTTGATCACCTTCATGTTCTATGATGATTATATGCATTTAAATCATGTCCTTTTTGTCCTCAGTTCTTATTTGTGTGAGCTAAAGCTAAAACTTCTGCCCTTTTTTCACAAGCCAGTTTCAGCTTCTTTTAATGATTATTTGCAAAGTCATTCAGCRTAGAAAAGCTATTGCTTTCTGAGTTAGACCTGGAACCCTCCTTCATTATTTCTCTCTGATTTGCCCAAACGTCTAAACATAATTTTTCTATTGTTGTATTTATTCAACGTTTTGTGGTTCTTTTTAACTCTTTTTTTTTCTTTTTCCACAGCTACTAGAGAATTACTGGGTGAAATGGATGGCATTGATGTGTTACTGCAGCAGCTATCTGTAAGATCTAGCTTTTTGTTGTTTGTTTGTGTGTGTTTTTCTTTGTCCTGCCTGCTAACCTTCAAACACCATCAACACTTTTATTTTTCAGACATGAGTAAACTGCGTGCCTGTATGCAAGTGTCAGTTTAATGTGCAGTCAACTTTGACTTATGTGACTTTATTATTAATAATTACCAAAAGTCTTTTTTACAAAGCTTTTTCTGTTTTTCAGCCTCAGCATGTCTCAAATTGCATTAAATTTACCAACTTAAGATAAAAAATGTAAAGAATCGTAGCTGCACMTTTTGTCTTAGTGCTTTTTGCTCTTTCCCCTTTTTTCCCCCCACAGGTGTTCAAACGTCACAACCCAAACACAGCTGAGGAGCAGGAGATGATGGAGAACCTGTTCGACGCTCTGTGTTCCTGCCTGATGCTGTCCTCCAATCGGGACCGCTTCCTCAAAGGAGAGGGGCTTCAGCTGATGAATCTCATGCTCAGGTAAAGATTTAATCTCCTGGAAATGGTGGGAGGAAGAAACACTTTAACCTTCCTGAACTGTGGATAGTTGCAAAACTGTTTGGCTGACCGTCCATTACTTTGATGTAGATTAAATATAATCTCATATTCATGGACTTGATAGCTTTTCCCAGATTACCTTTTTCCTAATCTTTAGTGCTTACCTAAAATAACAAACAGAAGTTGAATTGACTGACTTTCAGCTTTCTTCATGCCATTTTCTTAGTTAAAGATGAGTTGTTTAAGGGACTGTCTGTCACACAGCTGTGATTCACTCACACAGCCTTGCATTACTTGTTTTTGTCTCAAACTACAGATTGCACATAAAAATGAAAAGAAGCTTGTTTTGTCTTTTTAGTAGGCAGCTTTAATTATTCTCCAGCTGCCAATTTTGATGTCTTTTGCTAGTCTATTGCCATCTAGTATGTTATTAAATTCACATTTCTTTTCTAATTCTAAAAAGAAATTACAGAGATAAATAGTTGCAATTTCACTTTTTAATATCTTACAGTTTCAGCAATTTAATCAGCATGTTTGGTGGAAGTAAAAATATTAAAATAAAATGGCAAACTGATATTTTAAACGCTGCAGCTTATTTTTTGTTACAGAATAAAGCAGATCTTCAGGTTTGACAGGAGTAAAAACGTCCTCTTTATCAGGAGACGTGGAGAAATAGGAGATTTGAAAAAGGACAAATTGACATTTTCTGTTTTTAGCAGCATTTTTAAATGAGCATTTATGCCTAAATTTAGATAGTTGTATTTGGTACTCATTTATGAAACATAAAAACTAAAATAAGTCACTTTTGTTTGCCACACCTTTAGATTTTGTACCCATAACAGGGCTATTCAACTTAACTCTAAGTTCTTTTAGTTAAACATAGACATGTCTGGTATCTACAGAAACATCAGAATCTTAGCCAGAAGCTGGTAAAAAAACATTTCTATGAACATCCAAGACACTTAAAACTACAAGCAGTTTAAGAYAAAACTATGAAAGTGAAAATAAAATTGGTTTGTCAGAGATGTCAGAATATTTACGTTAAATAGGAGGCATAATGTGTTCTTTTTGTTTTTGGTATTGTTTAATTATCAATTTTATAGGGTTCTGTTAGTTGTATTCATGATTAAATACAGCAAAATAAACAATTTCAAAGGTAACAGATCTTTATAATACTTGGTTTATTTACATAATAATTTTAATTGCTGGATGTTTGGCCCCTTAGTTGTTGACCTGCAGTAACTGTGGCCCCCGAGCATTTTAATTGAATAGCCCTGACCTATAAGATAATATTTTTTGCAGTGCCACAATTACCTGGGCACAGGTTGTTCTTAATGCTGAAGTCTGGACTCGACCCTGGGTCGAGAAACTCCAAGTAGTGAGTTGTGAGATGATCTTCAGACTCTTAATTTATTGTAAAATGACTGGTAATTGTGGATTTATCCTGTCCCAAGAATCAACAGTAGTCATGCAGAGATTTAAAAAGAAAAAAACTTAGTTGAAGCTGTTTGCGCTGTCATTATTGTCTAGTTTAATTGGCTTATTAGCAATGTTTGTATACTTTAATTAGCAGTGATCTGGTCATAAGGCTCTGCTTCTGTTATTCTGTGGGTTGGAAGCTGAAAAGTTTTAGAACCATTTATATAAACAGTGTCATCGAATCCGTTTGTTAAAGAAAAATCTTTAGTTTCCAGATTAAAGAAACTGCACGGTGTGTTAAACTACATTGTACAATACAAAGTCATCAGGTATAGATGAACCAAAACCAAATATTTCAGCTATTAATGAAAGAAAAAAACATTTTTGTATGTAGAAGTTTATTTCAGATGTTTCTTTCTTTATTTCTTTGGTTCTTACCTAACTCTGCACAGCTACCTGCTCCGCTGCCTTGTGAGGTTGCCAGATTCCTCCAGTCAGTCAGTAGTTGGTTGAAGTGCAGCAGAGCACACATCTGACCTTAAAGAGTCATAAAGACACATCACATGCATTTATGAAACCTTCACAGCTTCTGCGCTCGAGCACTGACAATCACATCACTGGACACACAGATTTAAGGCTCCAATCAATATCTCATTATTGCAATGAAAAAAAAACTTTTTCTGCTAAATCGTTCTCCAGAGAAAGGCTGAAAGAGTCTGAATAAAAGGACAGCAAAGGGAAAAAAGCAATATTCATGTATATATCTTTTTTTTTTAAATATATTTTTTCTTTAGCAAAGAAAGAAACTGCCATTGTGATTTTTAGAAAAACAGTTCAATGAATGAAGGCTGTTTGGAACAACAAGCAGGGAGATGTCTGCATCATTAAGCAAAACGGTTTGTATTTGTTGAAGCAGACACAAGAGAAGCAGCCCAAACCATTTTTTTTTTCCACCTTTTTTAATTGTTTAAAAAAAAACCCAACAAAACTGTGGAAAACAAAGTAACACTACATTTAAAACTTAATTAATAAGCTTTTTTTAAGTTTGTATCTTAAATAACATTAAAATATATTAAGACAAGATGGTTTTAGAACCAAATAAATATTTTTTAACATTTAAAAAGTTAAACTCCTGTTCAGGTCCACAATGTCCTAAAACTCACGGCAATGACGAATGAAAACTATTTTAAACTTGATCTGGATAAGTCTGTTTTTGTATTTCAAAGTGTACTCCGGTAGTGGTGTATGATGTACGCTGAGGTTGGGGAAATAAAAAATGTACATGGCCTAGAAGACGTGCACATAAAAAAAGGCTGTGATTTTCAAAACTGGCTTCTCAAAGTCCAGTCACGTGTCTTGCTGGTCGGTTGGTCACAAATTCTTAGGAAACAGTGGGACCGTAATGAAAAACTTACCTTTTGTTGTTTTTAAACTGCCACGCTGTATTTCGTTTTAAATACGTATTTGACACGATCTGGTATGACGTCTGAATGCTTTGAATAGAATAATCAGCTCTTGAACCGGGATCAGCAATCTTGTAGTGTCGTCTAGAGCAGTGGTTCCCAAACGTTTCAGCTTTTGACCCACAAACYACCAGCAGCAGAGACCTGAGCCCCCAGCTGTTGTTGGTTGATGAACATTGTTTTCACGTCAAATAAACAAGAGCATAGTAACACTATTTATTATGCTATTTTTGTCCATTTTAGTTACACTAACTTTAGTCTTTTGTAACAACAAAGGCAAAAAAAATTATTGTTAGTTGTAATTTTTTAGTGTAATTAATTCAGAAAATCTTTTCAGGACCCCACCTTGATGTCTCAGGACCCCACTGTGGGTCCCGACCCCAACTTAGGGAAGGGAAACTAGAACTGAGCGGAACTGCATAGGAAGGCAAGGGCCAGGCTAGAAGAGGTGATACAGGGCTCTAGAGTGCGACCAATTTCCTAATAGTGCGACTAAAAAAAAAGTCCGGTCACACTGGTGCGACCGAGGGGGAGGGGGAGCGGTCGCCCGCTGAAAGTAAAAGTTTTCATCATGTTCCATAAAAAATAATCCAGCAGTATCAATGGGTCGYCCGCCGACAGTCTCATCTCTCCTAATAACACTGCGCTCTGCTTGCGGGCTCCGCTCCACACCTCCCGCGCACACACATTTGTTGTTCTATCCTCATAGGGACTTTGCATTGGCTTCCACTCATTTCCCCGTCAATTCTAAAGCCAACCATAACCTCCCAGGTAGGCTACACACCTGACCCAAACCCTAACCTCACCAGGCTGTGTACCGGGGAAATGGTCAATAATTGTCCCCACAATGAAACAAAAATCTGTACACACACACACACACACACACACACACACAC